GTATGTATGTATGTATGTATGTATGTATGTATGTATGTATGTATGTATGTATGTATGTTCCAGCATAACTCTGGAGCACCTTGAGCAATTTCAACCAAATTGGGTGGTACACAGATAACTTACCCTCTGGAAAAAAAATACTGGGGGAGGTGGGGAAGACACCCTGGGGTATGTGTGTGTGTGTGTTCCATCATAACTCTAGAACACCTGGCCTGTTAAGGAGAGCGAGCGCATCGTCCAAGAGTGGCAATTGCTTGTGATGTCATGGGAGGGAGATGGGAGAGCCTGGGCCATTAAAGAGAGTGAGTGCGGCGTCCTAGAGCGGCAATTGTTTGTGATATCAGTTCCTTCACAGCTTCCTCTGGAATGCCAGACATGACGTTCGCCCTCCAGTGGACCAATGGGGAAGCACCTGATAGATTTGGGGCAAAGTGCCAGGATCATAGACAGGGCAGGAAAGAGGAGCGCATGGGAGGGGGAAGGGAGAGGGCAGAGATGATGGGCATGGGAGTAGGGGGGAAGAAAGGCCTCTCTCAATGGCTCCCTGTCAGACAAACGCTTCGACGTCTATAGATACCCGGGCGCTGGGTTATCGACTAGTTAATGATAAAGGTCTTTAAATTATGGCTCCCCTGCAATTTCACTATTGTGGCTACTCTTGAGCTATTTTTCATCCCATGTATGCTGGTGAGTAACAAAGAGAATTGCTTTTGCTATCCTGCACTGCTCATCTTATCATGAAATGGGGCCATTACCCTGAAATCCCCTGTAGAGTCTCTTTTCTGGTGTGACCTAAAGCAACGAGGTTCCTCCCCCACCCCCTTAGCTTTATTTCTAGCATCCTGGAACAACAGCAATTTGGTTCTCTTTAGGGACATGGAAGAGAAGACTGTCTGGAAGCAATGTTTTGTTTTCTAAACTGTCCTTGAAAAGTACATCTCTCCCTGATATTCCAGTTTGTGGGGGGAGGATGTACATTTTCTCTCCTTGAAAAAATAAATGCCCCTGATGTTTCTAACTAACTTTCTAAATACCAGACTATGTTAATTCCAAGAACATTAAAATCAACATCTGGAAAGTCAGTGGCAATTAATCGTATACCTGCCATGAGCAAGGCTGCAATGCAATCATTCTTCCCTCCTATTGCAGCTTTCATGAGTGCAGTCAGGCCTCTGTCATCCTGCATCTCAATGTCTACTCCTGGATAGTAATTCAGAAGATAGTTCACAATAGTAATGTGTCCTGTGTGGCAACAGAGAGAAAAAGTGAACAGTGTTAGGAATGCGCTGAGCTCTCCAAAGAAAGATTAACATCTAAAGGCAGCAATGATCACAAAGAATCCACAGTTCTACTCTAGGGGCATATTCTTCTCCCCACCGCTCATTTTGTGCAGATCCCCATTACTTTTGCTTTGCAACAATAACTAGTTTCTTTCCATTGGCACAAATCATCAATGTGTATATAAATGAACTGACTGACAAACCCCCTAATCTGAGATCCTTTGTGGATCTCACTGGATTGGATTCACTGTCCTTAATGTTAAATCCTATGGCTCCACACAGTGGTGAAATTAATTTTTTTTACTAATGGTTCTGTGGGTGTAGCTTGGTGGGCATGGCTTGGTGGGCGTGGCAGGAGAAGGATACTGCAAAATCCCCATTCCCACTCTGGGGCCAGCCAGAGGTGGTATTTGCCGGTTCTCTGAACTACTCAAACTTTCCGCTACCGGTTCTCCAGAACCTGTCAGAACCTTCTGAATTTCAGCCCTGTCCTCATACCACTTTAAAATATCACACATTGCCTAGGTTGAAACTGAAGGAAAATGGTAGGGAATGCCCAAATAAATATCTTATTCTGCTCCTTTCCCACCCACCCCCAATCAGAACCAGCTAGTGCACAAACTGGAAACTCAACCCAACCCACATATTCCCAAATGTACATTCAATACCTACCCACACCCCTCCTTCCTGGTAAATGCATCCTATGACAGATGCAGGACATAAATATCCAACTGTGATGTCCCGCCTCCCCATTAAATATTGTTCTGGATAGATAATGATTTTAAACAAGGGAATGACAGGAAGGGAAAGTCCCTTTTTTGTTTTTGCATAATTTGGAATTGTGTTCTTCAGCTTGCTGTTTTTAAAATTCTGATCAAACATCCCACCCATGTTTGAATCTTTAATGTTCTTTGAAGTCCCCTGTGTCTTGCTTGGTGTAATGAAAATAGTAACTTTTCCTACCTGCTTGGGCTGCCACCATAAGTGCTGTGTTTCCATCGTTATCCTGGTGGTTGACATCTATGTAGGAGCATTTACTGAGAAGAATGACAATATCTTTGAAACCCCGAAAACATGCTACCAGGAGGCCGTTCTGGAGAGCAAGAGGGAAAATGTTAAGATTCCATCTTCCAGAGCACACAAGATCTTTCCCCATCCATCCTTTCAGGTTTTGAGGTCTATGATCCCATATATCTTGATGGCTGCTGCATCATTGTGGCTAACCCTCGTGCAATAAGATCATACTAGAGCCGTGGTGGCGCAGTGGTTAGAATGCAGTACTGCAGGCTACTTCTGCTGCCTGCCAGCTGCCTGCAATTTGGCAAATTCAAATCTCACCAGGCTCAAGATTGACTCAGCCTTCCATCCTTCTGAGGGTGGTAAAATAAGGACCCAGATTGTTGGGGACAATAGGATGACTCTGTAAACCACTTAGAGAAGGCTCAAAAGCACTATGAAGTGGTATATAAATTTAAGTGCTATTGTTATTGCTACTTCTGAGCTTGTTCAGTGGCCAACTAAATACCATGCCATGTAGCAAAAATGCTTTTCCATCACTATCCCTGGTGGCTCTGTTCATCCCGATCCATGACAATGGAGATATGGAACTCTGGTTAACTGTGAGTAGAAAGAGGCAATCAATACAGGATGATGATATTAGCAGGGATTATTAGACATATATTTTCTCGTGTATAACGCACAATTTTTATATTGTCTACTATACCCTCCCCACCAGATCCTCCCAGAGCACATAAGACAATTGGATAGCTTGCAAAAACCATAAGCTGCTTAGGGGGAGCCTCTTAAATCCTGGAGCATAGGGCTTCTCAGAGTGAATAATCAGAATGCAAAACACCTTTTCTTAGACGAGTATAAGTGAGTGATTATTTTTCAGGAGAGAATGACGGGGCCTAGAGCAGTGGGATGAGCTGTTTTTCCTTGGTAGGAACTCCAGCTTCATCCTGCATTCCCCTCTTGGTATTTCTAAGATGTCTGCATGTGGAGGTGTTATTCTCTCATTCCAGGAAACACCGTGAAAGAAGAATGAAGGTGCAGCATGGTGAAGAAATGGGGGCAAGGTAACATGTTCAAAGGAGAATGAAGGGTAGGGTTGGTGGCCTCAAGCAAGCATCCTAATCTCCTAAGAGCCCAAATCAAGTGTTGCATCTCTTCCAGTGGTGGGATTCAAAATTTTTTACTACTGGTTCTGTGGGTGTGGCTTGGTGAATGTGGCAGGGGAAGATACTGCAAAATCTCCATATCCTCCATATCATTAGGGACTCGGGAGGCAGAGAATAGATGGGGGCGGGGCCAATAAGAGGTGGTATTTACCGGTTCTCCAAACTACACAAAATTTCCACTCCTGGTTCTTCAGAACTGGTCAGAACCTGCTGAATACCACCTCTCTTCCACTTCTGTGTATAAAACTTGAAAATCGTAGCCACATAACCCAGAATTATGAAGAGAACTATGTCTATCTAGCAGCACAGATTCAGTTGACAAGAAGTATTCACTTTAATTCTTGGCTGAATTGGCAATGGTGGTGAAGATTACTATGAATAAATTCCACTCTAGGACTAAAATTTGAAAGTAATGGCAACTTAGGCCAACAATCTGCCCCAGATGACTTTACTATTCATTCAGCTGAATAAAAGGGTGTGTCTTTGTGCCATTCAGTCCTGCTTTCCCCTATCATCTAGCCAGGCACAAACAACATATTATCAAAGTTTGTTGATAATTGCTTCATGAAGCAGTCGTACTAAGGTAAGTTGAATACTGTGGAAAGACTGGATTCATTGATTTGAGAAATTACCAGCTACAATCCCTAGACGCTCAGTATAGTCTAATAAAACTTTATAAATAAAAATATCTGATAGTGAAAATATAAATTATAAAAGCATAAAATCATAAAATCTAAATACCACAGTACAGTCAAGCATCCTACGTATCATGGATCATTGTATGTAGGTGCTCTGGGACAGCTCTGTTTTCAGTAGTTTCCAGGAGGCCAAATTATGAAGAGAGAAGCAACCTAAAACTAAGGAGAAATATCCGGATAGTCAGAACAATTAGTCAGTGCAACAATTTGCCTCCAGAAGTTGTCAAAGCTCCAACAGTGAAGGTTTTAAAGAAGATGTTGAACAACCATTTGTCTGAAATTGTATAGGGTTTCCTGCTTGAGCAGGAGTTTGGACGAGAAGATTTGCAAAGTCCCTTCCAATTCCTGTTATTCTGTTAGGGGCTAGTCCCAATTCAAAGGGGAAGTTGTCCCAAAGTCTAAGAAAAGGTCCCATAGAAAAACAGAACACACAAGCCTTCTTGTAAATACCTTGTGGAGATTGGGACTACTAGCAATTTCTCCCGGGATAAGCAATTGTGTCTGAAAAAGGCCAGAAGATACTTCCATGCCAAGCCATATTGACTTTATACACAATCACTAACACTTTGACTTGCCTTTGGAAGCTACCATAATCAGAATCACGTATCGGGATTGGAGCCAGGGGTGAAAGGCTAGAACCAGTAGCAAAAAATGCTAANCAACTATTCATCTTTTCCTTTAGTCTTGTCTGGCTTCTTCTTGTTCCCTGCTGCTTCCTGAGCTTTCTTCTTCTCTTCTTTCACCTCCTTGTATCGCCATTTCGGGATCTGCAGTGCATTCTTGTTTTTAACCTTGGGTGGTTTGTTCTCTGCCGGAGTTGACTGGGCAGAAGACCTGCTGACCTTAATTTTTGGAATGGCGCTGTTGAATCGCAGAGGAAGGGACAGAAACTTCCCAATGGGACTAAGGGATTGATACGGTATCAGGGTTTGGGTCCTGAACTGGCTACTGCTGCACGATCTGCTGTTTACTGATTTGGCATCGGGATCAGGTACATATCGGTTGAGAATTTCTGGCACTGAGTGTCTCTGCTTGCCTACTTCCGGTGGGTCGTCAGGACAGAGCGTTTGACAAGCCGTGGTCATGAATGGGCTGGCCAAGGAGGTGGTCATGCGCACCATGTGATCCATCACCCCATCCGTCTCGGGGTCTTGTGGGAAACGGATGGTAAACATGGAGCAAATGTGATCAGTCAGACGCTTGGCTCTGGATTTGGTAGCTGTCGCTTGGGCCACCAGTTCAGGCAGTTGGGGCCACTCAGGCAAGTACTTGTTAGAGAATTGCTGGGCACAGGGGCGTTGCAAAAGGATTCTGATCCGCATGATAGCTTCAAAGCATCCAGTCAGGGCTGCCCATTCCTCTGCGGTCTTTCCTTTCACGGGGTCCACAGCAGCAACATCAGCTCCTAGGAGAAAACACACATGATGAGAGGTTCAGCGGTATTTCATTCCCACGTCCATGCTTGCTTACCTCCCCCACCCTCCTGGCTGCTGCCCCAGAAGTCTGGTTTTGGAGTTGCTTTCACCATCCCATTTTGAGATTCAAGGGAGGAGAAGCTGGACCCCTTTACCTACCCAAAAGCTGTTCTGCATCCTGTGCTAATTCTTCCCCCCCCCTCTCTCCAGGTGTATAGTTTTTGCACATCTGAGTTGTACATTGAGAAGAGAATCATGGATTGTAGCATTTCCTTGCCCACTTTTCCTTCTGAGGGCGAAAGCAGCTTCCACAGAGACATATGTGAACATGTATGTTTATATGTGAAAGTATGTGAGAGAGCATGTGTTATCACTAGGATTGTTATCACAGTGGAGAAGAACTGATGAAAAAAGAATCCTTTGTCTGATAGCATGGATTCACAAATAAGGAGAGGGTGCAGAGGGTTTGGGAGGCCTGCAAAGTGCTCCTGGTGGCTGGGGAGGGCAAAAACGAGCGGAAAATGGGCCATTTTTTCACTTGTTTTTGCCCCCACAGCCCCCAGGACACTCTACAAGCCTCCTAAAGGCTATGCATGCCCCCTTTCTTTGGCAAATGATAGATAGATAGATAGATAGATAGATAGATAGATAGAGATAGGTAAACCAGGGGAACTTTCCTCTATGCTCTATCTTCCCTGCTCTTGGGCTTANCACTGTTGAAAATTACTCTATTTTTCAGAGTAAAAGATGCTCTGGAGTATAAGACGCACCTTAGATTTTCGGGAGGAAAATAGGAGGGAAAAATTCTGCCTCTGCCTACCATTCATGTGCCTAGCGTCCTTAGCCTGATCAGCTTCAGCACATTAGTTCTCTGGTTGTGACTGTGCGCATTGTGAGTCTGTGGCAATCTCTGCAGCCAGGAGGAGGATGCGCAGAGGCTGAAGGGTGAGAGGCCATTGGTTGGTCAGGGCTACACTGAGAGTATAAGATGCACAGACATTTTCAGCCTCTTTTTTGGGCGGAGGGCATCTTATACTCCGAAAAATATGGTAGCTATTTTGTTACTTGTTTTCAGCAATACTTTCTGGAACTGCTAGGGAGTTGCAGAATGGATGTTGGGGGATTCTCCCTGACTTAGAATATTATCTGGACAGCCCAGCAAGTCTTTCTTTGCCCACCTAAGGGCTGGGGTCACCAAAGAGGCAATGCACTTGGGAAAATAATACACATTATAAGCTTATGCATCTTAAATGTAACTTTCCTGGGAAGAAAGAAAGTAGACATTGAAAAGAGAGCGACAGTGGTGAAATTCAAATTGTTTTACTACTGGTTCTGTGGGCGTGGCTTGGTGGGCATGGCAGGATGCTGGAAGGATACTGCAAAAACCCCATTCCCATCCCACTCCTGGAGGAAGGATATTGCAAAATCTCTACTCTCACCGCATTCTGGGGCCAGCCATTCTGCCGGTTCTCCAAACTACTCAAAATTTCTGCTACCGGTTCTCCAGAACTGGTCAGAACCTGCTGAATTTCACCCTTGGAGAGCGAGAGGGTGTTTCTTCCCAAACTTGTCCATTTTCAAGTTCTAATTCTCCCCATTTGCTTCTCTTTCACAGCTTTTTCACCAAAGCTTGAAAGGAAAAGACGCTAAGCATATTTTTAAGGTTCTTTTGAGGACCGGAGTTGGGATATTCCATGCAAGGGAGACATTAAATTTACACTCTCTCTTCTGTAACACCCACACTTTCTATCCTGAGGATTAGAGTCTATTACCAATATTGACTAGTAACTCTAGAATTAGTTCCTTAGCGTGACCAAAAATTGAGAAAGTATCCATAAGGGTGATGATATTTTTCTCAATCACCCTGAGGCAGAGCTTTACTTTGTCTTTGGAATATCATTTTCTTCTTGCATCCCCAAACACGTGGCACGACAAAACCGCGGTCCACTAAAGCGCGCCCGATTAAAGCACGTCGCTGACGTCATCAGCAGCGCGACAACAACAACTGCAGAGAAAAAAGGACGCTTTCAAAAGCGCTTTTAAAGCAAGCCGATTCACGTTAAGGTAAGGGTTAGGTTAAGGGTTAGCGTTAGGTTTAGCGTTAGGTTAAGGGTTAGC